CAGGTGCACGGCACTGTAAGTTTTTTTTTTTTCGAGACCAGCTCTGGGGTTTCGAATGGAGGAAGGGGAGGGGTGGTCTTTATACAAATGAGGCTTTAGAAAACTTTCGTTTTGTTTCGGGATTGTCCGGATTTGTTGCAGGGCTAAAACGAGGTATTTACATACATACCCACCTGAAGGGGAGTGATGTTGCGACAGGGAGCGACGGGGACAAAGAGGCCTACGAGGGCAAAAACCCCTCAGATTGAATGAGAATTTGCAGGGCTCCTGCCCACTGGGAATGATTGATTGCGATTCGTCAGTCCGTCGGTCCGTCAGGCCTTCAGTTCCAGGTTTACGGCGAGAAACATTGAGGAAGATGCAAGGTTGGTTGTGCGCAAGAAGAAAGGAACCGAGCGCGTTCCGAAGCATTCCGCTATTTTGACTGCTCTCGAATCTCCACCATTCAACCAACGATAATATCATTTGTTGTATAAGGTACTGCTCGACCCAATTGGAGGTGATGGTAGGCGTCTCAAGTCGTGCGAAAGTTGGGAATCCCGGGAGGAGATAATTTGAGCTTCGACATGCACTGATGAATCGAAGACTTTCTGCCATGAGCACTGTCCGTGTTATTCCAGTTTACAGCAGGCAATGACAAGCATTTCACCGGAATCAGATAAAATTCATTTCATTGTGTGCATATGCATACATATGTTACCAAAACGGACGATTTGAAGGATGGCATCCACGTTTTCACCATGATTGAAAGCTTCGCGGATTTGCCAAAGTTTTTTGCTGCTATCATCTTCGAACCCTGGAAATAGCAATATATTATCTGTCAACATTGGAAGGGGGGGAACAAGAGGAGTGATTACCATTGTGAGGCAACAGATAAACCTCGATGACAAAAGAAAGGATGCCCACGGCACGGCTATCTTGAAATATATTTCATTCTGTCGGCGACTGTATCGAGTTCTTCGTTCTGTTTCAAGGTCCTAGCAAGTCGTTCGACTCGTGCCTTGTAATTTTGGTGCACGTTGGCGTGATTTTCGATCAAAGCCATTTGTCGTAATAGGTCGGTCTTTAGCAGAGCAGTTTAATGGTCGGTCGGAGAATTGCGTGGGGGCTAGGGGGATTGAAAAATTGTTAACATACCTGCCTTTTCTTCGCCGGAAGGACGAGGAGATAATGAAACCTCGTTATTCTGTACCAGCGGCGGACATTGCATGAGCTTCCGCCAGCAGATGATGATTGTGTCCGTGAAACGCTGTTGCTGCTAGCTTGATTTCCCTGAGGCGTTACTCCACCCAGAAGGCAGAGGAACACCATCTCCGACCGCTGAGGAACAGAAAAGTGGAGTTAGTACGGGTATTTATGCAAATGAGTCTTTTTGTCTCGGGATTGTCCGGATTTGTTTTGTTGCAGGGCTGATATTTACAGCGGAATACTGAAGGGACGCAGAGAGACGAGACGATTCAGAGGGCCGGAGAGGGGACGAGGACTAAAGTAAAAAATGAAAATCCCTCTTATTGAATCGGCAATGAGGGTTTGGAGAGGGCACGCTGATTGAGAACTAAATATAGCATGTAGGCATGGTGATCCTGGGATACCCTGGTTGTGTTTGGTACGTGGGTTGTGTCACTGTGAGGGAGATTTGCTGGAGGCCTTTGAGGAGACTCCGAGGTCGCGGAGCAGGAAGATGTGGAATGTGTTCTAGGGGAATGGGAATGACTACTAGTGAAGAGACAGGGTGACTAGGAGGACGGGAGATGGATCAAACATAAAAAAACATACAACGAACGAACAAAAGACAATTTGTTTATCATTGGCATAGTGACCACCGCAGGGGTCGAACCTGCAATCTCCTGATTACCCGCACATCGTAGTCAGACGCGATGCCATTTCGCCAGGCGGCCAGTTGCTTGGAAGGAATTTCGAGTGATGTTCCCCTCTTTTGGATTAGGTGATACTATGTATGTATATGTGATTAATGTTCTACCGGTTTCAATCGTGGCAAGAAATCAGAGTGTTGTTATGATTAAGAATTGTTCGCGGTACTGATAATTAATACCCTACCCTGCCCTCGCTGTCTCCCTCAAGCACCTACCCTGAGCATTTACCTTGAGCACCCTACATCACAACACACTTCTCATCCTCAGCTTTCGCGCCCGATATCCCCATCTCCGCGAACGTCTGCGGTCCGGTGGGTCTGGGCGGGGGTGCTCCCGCAGGCGCTGGTGTACCGCTGTTACTGTTACTGTTGGGGTTGGAGTTGGAGTTGGAGTAGGGCGGGGAGGGGGTGGATACACCACCGGACACAACGACCCCGCCACTTGGGCCTCGTCGGGGCGGTGGTCTGCCTCCGCCGGGACCGGTGGACGGAGATCGACTGTCGCCTCTGTTGGTTCTGTCGCCCCGGTCGCTGCGCGGGGCAGAGCCGGATCCGGGGTCGACGAGGGTGTATCTGTTTGCTGTGGGGTATGCTTGGTTTTGGGTTCCGCCTGCTGGGCGGGGAGTCGGGGTTGGGCGGAGGTTTGGGTTGGGGTTGGGGTTTTGGTTTTGGTTGGGAGTGGAAGGGGGAAGAGGAGGTGGTTGAGTATAGGGAGGTTGGGATTGGGGATAGGGGCGGGCGGAAGCTGCAGCTGAAGCTGGACGGGAGATGGTGATACCCACCTGGTTTGGAGGAAGGGTGTTTGCGTGCTCGGTGTGGTATCTCCCGTGTGCGCCTTGTTGTGGGTATTGGGGACCAGGTTGTGGTTGTTGATAGCTCCCTAATGTATTCTTCCGGATGAGGTCGACGACCTGTCGGGAGTCTCTTCTTCTGGCAGGACTCCCTTGGGGCTGTGGCTGAGGCTGGCCCTGGGATGGCGGCTGGCCGGCCAGATACCCATCGCGCACCTTCTGCGCCTCGCTCCTCTCTTTCGCCCGCGTGCGGCTGCGCACAAGCTTGCTCTCCGTGATCTCATCGTGCTCGACGCGGGAGAGGACCTGCGGGGCGGGCTGCGACAGCGCGGCGAGGCGCTCCCCGGCGTCGGTGTTGCCGTGGCCCTGGGCGAGAGCGTACCAGCGGAGAGCCTCGTCGAGGCTGATGGGACCGCCGATGCCGACCTCGTGGTAGTACCCCATAGCGAACTCGGCAGAGGGGAGCCCTTTGTGGGCGGCTTTGGAGGCGAAGATGAGCGCGAGCTGCTCGTCCTTGTCGAAGCCGCCGAGCGAGGAGGGAGGGGGGCTGGTGCCGTTTGGACCACCGACGCGGGAACCGCAGAGGAACCATTTGGACAGAGCCATGTCGGCTTCGGTTTCGCCTTGTTGGCTGGCACGGGAATACCACTCGACGCTGAGGAGGGCGTCGAATTCGAAGGGGGGAGTGGCGAATTCGTAGGCGTGTCCGAGCTTGTATTGGGCGGGGGAGAAGTGGAGGTAGGCGGAGTTGGTGAGATGGGTACGGGCTTCGAGGAGGAGACCACGGGGGCCGAGGTGGGAGAGGGAGGGGGGGAGGAGGTTGAGTTTGGGGAAGAGGGCGGGGTCGATTTGGGACTGGGTGAATTCGCCGAGGAGGAGGAGGGCGTAGACGTAGGATGGCTGGGGAGTGTCGACTGTTGACGCGAGAGCTGCGCGGTGGAGGAGGGGGAGGGCGGTGGCGGGAGAGGGCGGGAGAGAGAGCTGGCCAAGCAGGTGGGCCATGCCGAGACGGTACATGCACCCTGCGACGCCGACGCGCACACCGCGCTCGAAGCACTCGCGGGCGTGCGTCGTGTCCCCGAACCCCTCGTAGTCGCGTCCGATGCGGAACCAGGCTTTGCCGTACCCTGCCCGTGCGGCGGTCTCAAAGTCGCGGAACGCGCTGCGGGGGTTCTTGGGGGTGTATTCCGGGAAGGCACCAGAGGCGAGGAGCGAGGCGCGGTGGTAGATTGATTCGGCGATGTATGGATTGGACGGGGAGGGAGGGAGGGAGGCGATTTCGAGGATGAAGGGGACGGCGATGTGGGCGAGGTCGAGCAGGGCTGTGTCGGTGATGAGGACTGGTCCGTTGATTGGTTCTCCAGGTGGTGAGCCACTTGCTATTGCGTGGGCTCGTTCGATGAGGAATAAGACGTCTCTGGACCAGGCGACTTTGATTGCTGGATCGCTTGTGGGAGTTGGGGTAGAGGAGGAGAGACTGGGGATGGTGGGCAGTGGTGCGGTCAACGACGACGACGACGAGGAAGGTGGGTAGCTGATGTGTTGAGATATCGTTGGAGACGGTGAGACGATCCTTTGTGGATGTTGTTGTTGTCCGTAGCCAGCTTCAACAGGTCCACCGTATCCACCGTAGTAGCTTCTATGCGGGTTTGGGTTTGGAGTCGGATTCGGATAGGGCAAGGACGGAGTCCATGGCGATCGAGACACTCCTGGGATGTTGAATCCACCAGGATTGTAGTGACCTCCAGGGTTGTTCAACGACGCTGGCACTGGCGACGACACACCACGCAGTGATTCGTCTAGATTACGTGCCATCTACCAACCAACGTCTTGTGAGCAGAAGAATCGAAAAAAAAAAAGAAAATCAACTCACCTTAGCTGGTATCTCAGGATCTACTTTTTGTGCTCGAGGTGCGACGAGTGGGTCTTCGAGATGTGGTGCGCTGCCTCCGTCGGAGGTTGTTAGAGTCAACGTCGAAGATGAGAACGTCGATGATGGTGGTGGTACTATATCTACTTTGTTTGGCAGCGATGGCAGTGCCGGTGGTGGTGGTACAGGAAAAGAACTCATCCAATGCGAAAAATGCGGTGTGCGGTGTCAATAATAGATATCCGTGTTAATGGTTTGTTGCATGTATTATTTTAGGAATCATCGATTGCCATCTCGAGCCTTGACACGGTTATATATCCATATACTGCTCTCCGCTCGCTGTCATGCTCTCCCGTCGTCTACATTCCCCATTTCTCTGTGTCGAATCCCAATTATCTGTGTACATCGCTTTCGAATCCTTCCAATATAACCATATGATGTCACCGCACACCGCCTCATCCACATTGGCTGCCTGGCGAAATGGCATCGCGTCTGACTACGATCGATGTTGCCGTTTATACGGTTGTAATCAGGAGATTGCAGGTTCGACCCCTGCGGTGGTCATGTTTTTCATCCCACTCCAAATTTGGTAATTCTTTTTTCTTTTTTTTGGGTGGGGCGGGGGAGAGATGATATAGATGATATGGGTTTAGTTGGATTGGGATTGGAATTGGGATTGGGATTGGAATTTCAGAATTTGGGTTATTCACCTCTTATCCCCCCCCCCTTCCTCCTCATAGAAGAAAAAAACAATCAATCTGATTATAATATTTGCTGGTACTACTTACTTTGATCAGGTGTGTTGTTTATCAAGACAAGTAGGTTGTCAGATGTTTGTTATATTGAAATGGATTATCAGATGTTGTATCGACATTGACATTGACATTGATATTGGATACAGATCTAATTTGTGAAAAAGATTTGAATTCATTGGTTGTCAAGTCACACCTGACAGGCCATCTTTTCCCAGCTGAGAAACATAAAGCAAATGTTCAAGGAGGAATTTGGTAATTCACCCTTGGGTTAATTGATTTCCATTTGTGTTTTCTGGTAAAAAAAAAAATTTGATTGTATTTCATACTAGATATTTTGTGCATTTTTTTGTGTATGCTTTTGTTTGATTGATGGTCGTATGTTTTGTTTGAGCAATGTGGTATTTATCATGAGATGAAGATAATCTTTTGCACCAGATAAACCTGACATTGCCCACTTGTAAGATTCCGAATTTTTCCTTTATAAATCTAGATAACTTCAAGTGCCTGTCTAACAATTGAAGTAGCATGCATCTCTAGAGTGGTCTGGGAGCTATGGTGGAGAGATGATACAATGTGTGGACATTGGGAAGCTTTGACAGAAGTCATAGATAATTATGGTCTTGATACTTGTGGAACAAGTACAGAGCATGTGTTGGATCTCTGGACCTTTCCCTCATATCTTCAAAACTCTGGTCCATCACTAATCTGTGTTACCACTATTCTATGCACCATCCTTACAATCTTCACAGTACATATTACCTGTTACTCCAGTAGCCACATGACATATGTATCTGACAGCCTTATATACAGTATATAGGCTGGGGACTCCCCTCTGAGCTTCCCAGCATGTTATTGTCAAATCTTACCTGGAAACTCATCCAACCTGGCTTGGTCCCTTTAGTACAGTCTACTAGTACTTGCTAACAGGGCCTGACACTTCTCATTTATCATATATTTCCTCATTATCTGTTTCATCTGTTTCCTTCATCTCTGTCTCACCTCAACTCTATTTCTCCTCTCTGTTTCTGTCATGAAGTACGTAGCCCCTATCATTTTCCTTTTCTCACCGTCTCTACGCCCTTATTTGTACGATACATCACTCCATCACTTCCGCGTCCC